CACATAAATAAGACAAAGAAATAGGATCACATATCATATCAATCGAAAGGGAAAATGCATTTGACAAAATCCAAGACCCACTCCTGATAATGCTCAACAAAATAAGAGTAGAAGGGAAATTCCTCAACAAAATTAAAAGTATACGTATAAACCCAATGATCAACATTAGACTCAATGGAGAGAGACTGAAAGCATTCCCCTTGTAAATGGGAACCAGACAGGATGCCCTTTATCACCACTCCTATTCAATATTATGTTGGAAATCATAACCAGAGCAATAAGGCAAGAAAGGGAAATTGGCATCCAAACTGGCAAAGAAGAAGTAAAACAATTGCTATTTGTAGATGTTATGATCCTGTACATTGAAAATCTCAGAGAATCAACAAGATAACTACTGGAACTAATAGAAGGACTTGGGAAAGAAGTGAGGTCAACATACACAAATCAGACCGATTCCTCCTCATTAAGAAACAGAACTCTGAAAAAGGAAATCAGGGAAATAATACCATTTACAATAAAAACAAAACAAATACCCACTGTCATCGAGGTGATTCCAACTCCTAAAGACCCTTTAGGACAGAGTAGAATGACCTCATAGAGTTTCCAAGGCTGTAAATTTTTATGGAAGCAGACTGCCTCATCTTTCTCCTCTGGAGTGGCTAGTGGGTTAGAGCCACCAACCTTTGGGTTAGCAGCCGAATGCCTTAGCTTCTACACCACTAGAGCTCCTTTTTCCATTTTCAATAGCCATCCAAAAGATAAAGTATTTAGGAATAAATTTAGCCATAGATTAAAACAAAAGACTTATACAAAGAAAACTATAAAACACTACTAAGAAACAAAATAGAAGAGAATACCATGTTGATGCTCATGGATAGGAAGACATATCATTGTGGAAATGTCAATACTGCCCAAAGCAATCTACAGATTGCATCATCATTCTTTAGACAGATGGAAAAACTAGTCTATATAAGCTTTATATAGAAAGTAAAAAGACCCTGGATAAGCCAAAGCACTACTAAAGAAGAACAAAGTCCGTCCACTTACACACAGCTGATCTTTGATAAAAGGCTAGTCTCTTTAACAAATGGTGTTGGCAAAACTGGATATCCATTGGCAGAAAAATTAAACAGGATTCTTATCTCTCACCACATACAAAAACTAACTCAAGATGGATCAAAGACCTAAATATAAAATCTAAAACTATAAAAATCATCAAAGAGATCAACTTAGGTGCCATAATATATGACATAAATATGCTATCAAACATAATAAAAAAAATGCACAAGCAGAAGACAAACTATATGACTGGAATATCCTAAAAAGAAAAAGAAAAAGAACTCACAGAATATGAAAACAATGGCAATGACATATCAGAGAAGGAACTGATCTCTAAAATTTACAGGAACTTCAACACCTCAAAATCCAATGAAAAAATGGTCTGGGGACATGAACAGTCATTTCACCAAAGACATTCAGGCAGTCAAGAGATATATGAAGATATGCTCATGATCATTAGACATGAGAGAGATGCAAATCAAAACAACAGTGAGATATCATCTCACCCCAGCATTAATGACAACGTTCAAAAAAACAGAAAACAACAAATGCTGGTGAGGGAGTGGGGAGACTAGAACTCTCGTACACTGCTGGTGGGACTGTAAAATGGTACAACCACTTTGGAAAGTGGTATGGTGTTTCTTTAAGAAGTTAGAGATAGAAATACCATATGATACAGCAACCTCACTACTAGGGATAGATCTTAGAGAAATAAGACATTAAAAGATAAATGCACACCCAACTTTGTTGCAGCATTATTCATAATAGCAAAAAATTGAAATGATTTAAGTGTCCATCAATGGAGAAATGGACAAACTATAGCACATACACACAATGGAATACTATGAAATGTTAAAAATAAAGATGACTCTATGAAAAATCTCAATACATGGATGAACCTGGAGGACATTATGCTGAGTGAAATAAGACAATCACAAAAGGACAAATATTGTATGAGATGACTATCATAAAAAGTCAAGAGAAGGTATACATACAGAAAGAAACATTCTTTGAAGGTTACTGGGGGTGAGAGTGTAAATCACTAACTAGAAGGTAGACACATTAATTTGGGTAAAAGGGAGAGCTATATACAATAAATGGGAGTTCAACATAAAATGATCAAGGCAAAGGAAGATACCAGGAGGAACATGAGAGTTAAAGGTAACACAGGTAAATACAACTACATACAAAATCCTGCAGGAACAGTAATAACAGTGACTTGACACATAACAACAGCAACATTGATAGACACATAAGGTGAATAGGTGTTGAAAGGTGAATGGGGCTACCCTTATGAATATATATAGATGTGGCAGAGGATATTTCTACATATGTATTTATACATATTTAAAGAGGAAGACCCTTAACAAAATGGATTAACACAGTGGCTGCAAGGATGGGAGCAAGCACAGCACAGATAGTGAGGAGAGCACAGGAACAGACAGTGTTTTGCTCTGTTGTACATAAGGTTGCTATGGGTCAGAGCCTACTCAACAGCATCCAACAGCAATAACAATTTATATGGGCTGCAAATATATCCATGTACATACTAGAGCATACAGGAGGCAAAGTTATGACAACTTTTTAACCATAACCAAACACCTTTTGTGTTATTTGGCCTGGGAACTCAGAACTATAGTCTCAGGGGACATCAGGGTCAACTGGAATAATATAGTCCACAAAGACAATGTTCTATATTCTATTTAGGTGAGTAGTGACTGCTGTCTTAAAAGCTTGTGGGCATCCATCTAAGGTGCAACTATTGGTCTCTCCTCATCCAAATTAAAGAGAAGCGAAGAAAATCACTGACTCATGGAAACAATTAGTCCAAAGGACTAATGGACCACATGAACCTAAACCTTCAAGACCTTGAGACCAGAAGTACCAGAAGGTGCCAGGTTACCTCTGCTGAATGCTCTGAAATGGATCACAATGGACGGTCCTAGATAGAGCGGGAGAAAATTGTGGAAAAAAAATTCAAAATCATGAAAAAAGACCAGGCTTTCTGGTCAGATAGATACTGGTGGAACTCCCAAGACTATGCCCCTTAGCCACCCTTCAGTCCTGGAACTGATTGACCACCATGGCTTAACTTGCAGACAAATAAGAGACAAGCCTATAAGGTGACTAATAACACCAGGGAGCTATACACTTCTTAGAACAATCAACCATACGAAATCAAAAGGTCAACATTTGCCTAGGGATGAAGCTCAGAGGCAGGAAGGGATAGGAAACAAGGATTAAGTGGGAAGAGTACTGTTACATTGTGGGGATTGCAATGAGTGTCATGAAACAAAATGTGTATGAGTTGTTGAATGGAAAACTAATTTGCTCTGTGAACTTTCACCCAAACCACAATAAAATGTTTAAAGAGAGAGAGAGAAGAAACTAGCCTACAGTAGCCAAGGCTCCATCTATCCACCGACCAATAGAACTAGATGGTGTCTGGCAACCACTACTGACCATTTTGACCAGGGACGCAATAGATAGCCCTGGATAGAATGGGAGAATAATGCAGAATGAAACTCAAATTCATAAGCAAGCCCCAACTTACTGAACTGGTAGAGACTAGAGAAATGCCATGTCTACCACCCAGAGCTATCCTTTATTTATTTACTTAAACTTTTTGTTGTGGTTTGGGTGACATCTTATAGAACTAAACAATTTTCTATTCAGCAATTAACATAAATTTTGTTTCATGTCAGTGATTGCAACTCCGTCAATATAACATCACTCCTCCCACTTCCTCCCTGTCTTCCTCATTTCTCTTCTTCCTTCTCTAACTCTTCCTGTTGCCCTTTTGATAACGAATGGTTGATTGTTCTAAGGAGTATGTGCTTCCCTAGAGTTATTGTTTACCTTGTAGACATGTCTGTTGTTTGACTGGAAATGAAGCTGTGGGAATGAGTTTAGTTCCAGGTCTGAAGGGCCATAATCTTGGGGGTTCCACCAGTCTCTATCCAACCCATTAAACTATGACCTGAAACCACTCTCAGAGATCACCTTTCAGTAAAAAAACAGATTGGCTCATAAAATAAACAATATCATCAGTGAATACTTTGCACCTTTAAAAAAAATATATCTATATGAGACCAAATGGTCAACATTTACCCTAAAACAAAGATGAGAAGGTAAAGGGGGGTGGGGGTGGGCAGGAAAGCTAGGTTAATGAGAATGGAACAACCAGAATAGAAATAATGAGAATATTGACACATTGGGAAAAATGTAACCAATGTCACTGAACAATACATATAGAAATTGTTATATGGGAACCTAATTTGCTGTGTACACTTTCATCAAAAACACAGTAATATATATATATTCTTTTAAAGTCACTGTAGTGCTCATCTTTGTAGTACTATCTTTATGCTTTGATTATTCCTTTATGCTAAATTCCTAGAACAGGAGTTAATAAATAAAAGATGTGACTATTTTCTAGAGTCTTGATAAAGATTGCTAAAGTAGGGTACAAATCTATTATTTAAATGTTTATCTCACTGCATGCTCTCTAACACTATTAATTTATTATTTGTCAGTTCGACAAATGAAAATACTTAATTGTCTTTAACATTTAATTTATTTGGATATTAGCCAGAATATGAATCTTTAGTTGCCACTTTCTATTGAATGAATTATTTTCTGAATTCTTTATTCATTTTTTTAGTGAGGAATTAGTTGATATTTTATGAATATATGTGTTAGAAAAGTTTGAAATCTTTGCTCAGACACACACAGAACAGTACCTGGCATATAGTAGGCATTTGATAAATCCTTATTGAATGAATTAATAAACATTAATATACTCATTACCAAGTGAAAAGATCCTTGTCCTAATGAATAATAGTTTCAACTTACTGCATTTTATTTTATTATTTTTAAATATATTAAGTGAAAATGTCATTTTGTTTTATTTGTGTTTTACAGCTGGTTTTTCACACTTTGCAGTTGGTAGCATTTACTGCCCTTGCCATTTTAATTATGAAGCTGAAGATGTTTTTGACACCTCACATGTGTATTATGGCTTCCTTGATTTGCTCTCGACGGGTAAGGTATCCATTCTCATACAGCTACAACTATAGTGTAGATACCAAGGCTTTGCTGAGTAATCTAAAATATAAAAACACTGAGTATTTTTATTTAAATAACTGAAGTGATTTTAATTTTAGTTCATGATCCACTATAGAGTAAGAAAAACAACCACAGGTAGCTTTGAAATTCATTCATAGATTTTAACTGCAATTTCTATGATGAGTGATGAGCCACACTTTCTCCACTGTTACTATCCTATCCATAAACATAATCATTTGGAGTTCAGGTCTGTGCAAGTTGCCTAGCCCATCAAAACTATCCTGAAGTGCTCTTTAATACCAGAGGAGATATAGTGAATCTCTAGCATTGTCCTGTTTGGCTCAGTGAATACCTAGAAGTCATCAGTCTTGGGGTTCCTTTAGTGCATCTTCATATATAGAAGAGCTTGACAAAGTAGCTAGAATATTGGGATCGAGATACTTCTAGAAACACCTTATTTAGTTTTGATTATGAGTCTATCTTCTTAGGATAGCACAAGGACTTTTCTTGAAAGGAACATATATGTCAGTCCAGTGGGATTTCCCCTTCTTGTTCCATATGCCCATAAAAGGCAACCAGATGTTAAAGGATTTTATTCTAAAGTGCTTCAAAATTGCTCTTTACCAATCTTAATCCATGGCAGTAAATCAGCACTTGAGAGATCAGATATTTCTTTCTTAATTCTTTTGAAGAGAGAAAGCTCTAATTGTAACTGGACCTTGCATTACCAAAATATTTGTTGTTCTGAAATGATAAATAACGATAGTTCTACATATTAATTTTATGATATTATCAAATGGTAGTCTATTTTAGTTTAAGTAGTGAGTTGATTTGTTATTGACCCTATAGAGTTCTCCTGAGATTAAAAAGAAATGGTTTATAAATGAGTTATCAATAAATAATTTCTTTCATTTCAGCTCTTTGGCTGGCTTTTCAGCAGAGTTCGTTTTGAGAATGTTATCTTTGGCATTCTAACTGTAATGTCAATACAAGGTTGTATAAATCTCCATAATCAATGGAGCATAATAGGAGAATTTAATAATTTGCCTCAAGAAGAACTTATACAATGGATCAAATACTATACCAGACCAGGTAATCAGCTCTTTGGTTATATATGTATACCCACATTTAGGTATATTAAATACTTACACATTATGTCATTATTATTTTATACATACTTATACATAGAATATATCATATATAAAACTTACACAGAGATTTAAAAATACACAGGTTGTCATTTGTATCCCCATAGATTTAGTCATTACCGTGTTCAGTCAAATTCTTTCAAAAGATCATTTTTTTGTCCTCTTTTAAATTCTTCTTAGGCAA